CGGGCTCGCTGCTCCGTGGTGGGCCTGTTTCTCTCTCTCCCTCTGCCTGCTTCTCCCCCTGCTTGTGCTGGCTCTCTCTCTCTCTCTGTCAAGTAAATAAATTTAACGTAAAATAAATAGCACAAGGTTTTGCCACTACCTCGTTATCTCTTCCTGGGGAAGTCATTTTCCCCTCTCTTCATTCGACGTATGATTCTTGAATGCCTGCCGCTGTGAACCAGGCACTATTCTCTGGGCCTCAGCTTCTAAATCTGTCATGTGGGGAGACCAGATGAGCTTTACCACAGTCTTCACCTGGAGAGGGCATCAGACTCAACAGAGGGCCCATTAAAACACAGACTGCTGTCCCCTGACCAAGTTTCTGATTCAGTGGGCCTGAGTAGGGGCCAAGAGTTAGCATTTGTAACAAGTTCCCATGTGATGCTTATGCTGCTGACCCAGGAACCACCTCTGACTTCGTAGGGTTCTGTACTTGTAAGTAAACTACATCTCCAGTTCTGAAAATATTAGAGAATAAAGAATAGATTCCTGTAGCTCAGAACACAAAACAGACACATCAACAGAAGTAAAATTATCTAGCTTCCATTCCACCCACAGGGGCATGGTGGAGGGACAAGAAATCAGGTCATGGTCAGAATCTGGTGAGTTTCAATAAGTAATTCTTCCTGTGGGAGGTAACGTGGTGCAAAGCCTTTTGAGGAAGGTTAAGTGGTGAGGTTTAAGCTAGGCAGGGCATTCTGTTATCATCAGGCCTAGTGCCCACAGGATAACACTGCTAGCGGTCATTTTAAAGCCCCCACAATTTATCCCTGCCTTACAAGTTCAGTCTGATCATCAGTGAGTTCCTGACATGGACACCTGCACCTGACTCCACGCTTTTATACACACCATTCCCTCAACCAGAATACCCTTCCTGGTCTTCTCATCTCTGTATGAACTCTATTTGTCCATCACGACCCAGGTAAACCTAACTGTTCTCCATAAGAACTTAACATTCATTCCCCCTACACTGTGTCTTTTCCTGCTGATACCAATTCAGTGGGACACTTGATCATTGTTAACTTTTTTTTTTTCATTCATCAATTCATTCATTCAACAAATATTACCCCTCCTTCAACAAATCCCTATTGGAGGGCCTACAATATGCTGGGCATTATGGTAGGTTTTGGGAATAAAATCATAGGCAAAAACAGACATGGCCCCTGCTCTAATAAAGAGAAATCCATTCATCAAATAATGGCACTGGTGGAGGTACAATTATGGACTGAGAATAGTGGTTTGAAAGAAATGAATGTGTAAGAAATGACCCTGATGTTGACTTGTGGTTGGGGTCAGAGTAGACTTCCTTAAGAAATACAGTCTGAGCTGAGATCTGAATGAAGGATGCCCAGGACGTGACTAATGAAAAGAGTATGGGAAAAGGAACAGCTTTCCAAATTAGGGGTGTGGGGGCACACCAGCATGTGCAAAGATCCTGTGGTGGGAGGCAGTGTGGCAGCTTCAAGAAACTGAGAGAAGACCAGAATGGCTTGGGGTGGTGGGATGAGAAGGTGGTAAAGAACAAAGAAAAGAGAGATACATTGCCAGACTGGGACAAACTTCAGAGCCTGATTGGCCTTGTTCATGATTTTGATTTTTAGCCTTAAGAGCACTAGGATGCCCTCAGAGGATTTTGAACAGTGATGGGGTCGGAGTTAAATTTAAAAAGTTCATTCTGCTGCTGCTGTCTGTAGCATGGACAAGACCAAAAGCAGGGAGATGAGTTGGAGGCTATTGGGATGGTCCAGAAGACAGATGAGGAGGTAAATTGATAGGTTGTGGGGTTGGTTAAAGGAGAGGGAGGAGTCGAGGGGCAAGAGTTTAGAGGAGCATCCATTCTGAGGAACATGATGTTGACTTTGCCTTTGAATATGGAAGTAGAATTTGGGGTAGGCAGCTGAGCAGGAGCCCAGACCCTCCAGACTGGGAGTAGTGACTGGGGGTCAGCAAGGTATAGTGGTGAGTGGGGATGTCAAGGAGGAGAGCTTGTGTGAGAAGAGAAAGGGTGTCTCCTCAGACTGGGTCATAAGCCCCTGAAGGAGACTCACTTCCCAGTGGCAGCACAGGGGATGTTTCTCTCATTTCTCCCTTCGTTCTGCTCGCCGTCATCCAAATTCAGGTCTTAGTTATATCTCACCTGGATGCAGCGAGAGCCTACTAAAATTCTCAAATTTTAATGTGCACGTGAATCACTTGGGGGTCTTGATAAAATGCAGATCCTGATTCAGTAGATGGAAGCTGAAGCCTTGAGATTCTGAATTTCTGACAAGCTCCCAGGTGATACGGACCGCATTTTCAGTGAGGGGAGTGGGTCTCCTTGCTTCTGAAGCTCAGCGCCATCAAGCCCAGCATCCTTGTGCCTGCTCGGATGCCTTCAGTAGCCATTCATGGTCATATTCAGGATCTACTCTAGCTCTCCTTGGCCAGCCATGGTTTCCTCCCACTGGTTCCCTTCATCCACCCTTCATTCTACCAAACCAAAGCAAATCCCTTGCTCTGAATTTGTCCCTCTCTATCATTCAGAAAGGGACAGATACCAACTCAGTCTAGTTCCCGGTTGGATGGGGGCTACTGCAATGGTCTTCACACTTTGCTGCTTGAAATCCCCCATAAAAGGATGTGGTAAATGTAATGACCCCCCTCACACATTTTCAGTTTACATCTACGTTTTTTATCATACATTTGCAGAAGATGCAATTTCCAGTATATTATAAACATTGATATTTTTAAATAAAACTATTACGTCACTGTTTTAAATTTATCCAGTGGAATCTAAGCTCCATAGGCATTTGATATCCACCATCATCCATTTTAAAAATGCATGAACACGCTCTTCACTAATTGTCAGTGTTCCTTTTTCTTCTTGAAACTTTATTTCTGTTCACTTCCCCTGTGGAATTTTATCCTAATGGAATATATGTAATCTATTTTATGCTTAAAACTCTTTCATTTGTTTCCCTATCATATTTGTAACAATTTTATATGAAATTAAAACTTCTTTAATTTCCTGAAATCATAAAGCTTTAAGTATTAAAATTTTCTCTGGTTTGAGTTATGTTAACAATTATTAATAGGACATGATCAAAATAACATAAATGTATTGTTGATTTGGATAAATAATTAATAAACATAAAACCTAAAATTATATTGAAGATGCATCTCTTGGTGAGATGGTAATGCTGGATGACTTTTTAAAATAAAGCTTTTTATTGACTTAAGACATACATACCTATATATGACCAGAGTGTACAGCTTGAATTATCCAAGTGAGCACACTCACTTGAATAAATACAGTTATCACCACGCCCAGAAATAGAATACTGCTGGCATTGGGTTATTTCTTCAGTTTGTTTTTATATTCGTGGAAGAATATTACGTATTGTATGGGATTTGAGACGGGCCGACATTGATTACATTTCCATTTTTTAGTCATAGAGATGTAAGCCCTGAATATCCTCATTTGTGTGAACTGATAGAAGTTTTGTTAAAACAGGATCACTCAGTTCTTCCCTTTTTTTAGAAAAGATTTTTATTTATTTATTTGACAGAGAGTCACAGCGAGAGAGGGAACACAAGCAAGGGGAGTGGGAGAGGGAGAAGCAGGCTTCCCGCGGAGCAGGGAGCCCGATGTGGGGCTCCATCCCAGGACCCCGGGATCATGACCTGAGCTGAAGGCAGATGCTTAATGACTGAGCCACCCAGGTGCCCCGATCACTCAGTTCTTGATCTGCTTCCGAGTTCTATACTGAAAATCACATAGCGATCTATCACTAACAATTAGACTTTAATTACTTCTGTTAGGCCCTCCTAAGAAAAAAAAGGAATTGGAAACCATCCAGCTTCAAAGAAGATTCACCACTCATTTATTAGAGTTGCTTATTTTCTAGATGGTGGCCAGGTGGGTTTTACTGGGGCGATAATAAGCCCAGTTAAGATTTGGGATTGGGTAAGAGGTCTGTCTTTCTTTTGTAGAGAAGGAGGGCAGTTGTGAGAGTGCAAGTATAAAACGTCAGCTTGCACCTTCGTCACCAGTCAGTTCTAGAAAACAGCTTCTATGGAAGTTTGAGGATCTGGGAATTAAGAGAAAGGAAAACTTTCTCTTAAAACTTGGAGTGCATGTGTGTAGTGCTTGGAACGTCTTCGTGTACTCCCAGGGGTTCACAGACCCCAGTTAGACGTCCCCTAAAGGACCTGTCTGAGTCAAACCAGACTAAACCAGTCTCTCTAGATATCCTAGTTCATGGTTCTAAGACATGTCCCAGTATGGTTTTTCATGCCAGGTCAGCACTGTGCAGAGATGTTTCCCTGAGCAGGGACCTCAGAAAGCAGGGAACTGTGTTGACGGGACAGGCAAACTAATGTGTGCAATACTCCCCTTGGAAACTTTCTCCGGTTCCGTTCTTATCTGGCATAAGCTCTCCAGTCTGAGTTCCCATATCTGTTATTTTTACTTTTTTATTACGTGCATCCTTCCTTCTGGCATCGTATTTATTCATGTGACCCATCATCACCTTTTCTAACCATAAACACCTCAAGAGCTGGCCCATGTCATAATCATTTCCTGGCATTGTGCCTTACGCTTAGTAGGTGTCTAGTAAGTATTTGTTGAGCAGGTAAGTTGATAAATGAATGGCTTAACCTTCTTCACATCCCCTGCAGGTCCTAGGATAGTGCCAAGTCCCAGAAGAAAGGAGGAATTAATCAGTGAGCAAAACAGTGAATTAACAAATCAATGAACCAATGAACCATGGAACAATGGCTGGAAAGTAAGAGAGTTCCCAACTCCCATGAGGGCCCAGATCTGCAGAATCAGTGTAAAGGGTGTGCAGTGTATGAAACAGGCTATTTCCAATCAAGTCTCCTGTTTTGTATTAAATTCTCTAACTGGTCAGGGTAGATGTCATTGTTCCTGCGGAGCATCCAAGTAAATCCGGTCCTGTGCTTTGCACCTTGTCTTGCAGGTGTGCGCGGCATCTCTGCACCCCGGCAATGTTCGGTCCGTACCTTGGCCCGCGTGACCATGTCAAGCCCCCCGCTCTGCACATGAGTGGTACAGACCAACAGGAACATCTGGCTGCAGCCACGTTCACAGACATGTCAGCCGTGGAATAGTGTGGACACCTTCTCTCAGCTTCTCAGGGTTTCAGTCCTTTTGGGTTTGTTTCATTGACCTTTTTTTTTTTTTTATGGTTTTGTGGCTGGACGTTCCCGGCCAAGGCAGGCGCCATGGGGGATCAGCAACTCTACAAGACCAATCACGTGGCCCACAGTGGTGAGAACCTTTTTTACCAACAGACCCCACTTGGCATCCATGGCGGGCTGAACCACAACTATGGGAATACAGTCACAGGGGCTGGAATGGAGGCCCCTCAGGCATCACCCATCTCCCCCCACTTCCCTCAAGATACTCGGGATGGTCTAGGCTTGCCTGTTGGCTCCAAAAACCTGGGCCAAGTGGATACCTCGAGGCAGGGAGGGTGGGCAGCTCACACCGGGCCTGGAAACCATGTCCAGCTACGCGGCAACCTGACCAACTCAAACATGATGTGGGGGACCCCAGCCCAGCCTGAGCCCACCGATGGATACCAATATACCTACTCCCAGGCCAGCGAGATCCGGACCCAGAAACTCACCAGCGGTGTCCTGCACAAGCTAGACTCCTTCACCCAGGTGTTCGCCAACCAAAACCTGCGAATTCAGGTCAACAATATGGCCCAGGTGCTGCACACCCAGTCGGCAGTGATGGATGGGGCCCCTGACAGTGCCCTCCGCCAGTTGCTGTCCCAGAAGCCCATGGAGCCCCCAGCGCCGGCTCTTCCTGCTCGCTACCAGCAGGTGCCCCAGCAGGCTCACCCTGGTTTCCCCGGCGGGCTGTCCAAGCCAGCCCTGCAGGTAGGGCCACACGCCAGCCAGGGGCACCTGTATTACGACTACCAGCAGCCGCTGGCTCAGGTGCCGCTGCAGGGAGGACAGCCACCGCAGGCCTCCCCGATGCTGTCCCAGCACATGCAGCAGATGCAGCAGCACCCGTATTATGCGGCGGCGCCGCCGCAGGCTGGGCAGCAGCACATGCCCCTGCAGGACCTGCCGCAGCAGCAACCGCCGCCGCTGCCGCAGCCCCGCCCACCGCAGCCTCAGCAGCCCCAACAGCAGCTGCAGCAGCGGCAGGGTCCGATGCAGATACCTCAGTATTACCAGCCCCAACCCGCGATGCAGCACTTGCAAGAGCAGCCTCAGCAACAGCAGCAGCAGATGCACCTGCAGCCCCCCTCTTATCACAGGGACCCCCACCAGTACGGCCCGGAGCAGGCGCACGCTGTCCAGCTGATCCAGCTGGGCTCCGTGCCCCAGTACTACTACCAGGAGCCCCAGCAGCCCTACGGCCACCACCTCTGCCAGCAGAGCCACCTGCCCCAGCACCAGCAGCGCGAGGACAGTCAGCCCAAGACCTACCCGAGCGACAGGCAGGCCCAGGCCATGCTGAGCTCCCACGGCGACCTGGGGCCTCCCGATGCAGGAATGGGAGACCCAGCAAGCTCGGACCTGAACCGGCTCGGCGGGGCCCTCCCGCACCGGCCGCTCCTGTCCCCCGGTGGGATCCACCTCAACAGCGTGGGGCCTCAGCACCAGCAGCTGTCTCCCAGTGCCCTGTGGCCCCAGGTACTCTCAGTGTGGGGGCAGCTCCGGGTACCTCGGTGTGCTGCAGCGCCAGCCAGAGCTGAGTCTGTCTAGGCAGGGCCCAGCCCTCTAGCCAGACCCCTCCCGGGCTTCTGTTCCCTGTTCACGCCACGAACGTTCACCCACATGTGCCAGACGCTGTCTGTGCCAGGCACGTGGGACACAGAAGCGATTTCGACTCAGTCCTCTGCCCACTGAGCTTAATCTTGCTACAGAGGTGGCCAGAATACCATATGAGGTCTTGAATGATGCACGTAGTGGTCAAGGCCTGAGTCAGGGGCCCAGGGACCACACGGTGGGGTGTCTGGTCCCCTTAGGTCTGAATCCGCAGAGAATTCCTTTGTGAAATCGTTCCCCCTTTGGGAAGGAGGCCACGTTATGACAGCCTTTCTCCAAGCATATTGCTCAGACCAGGAAGACCATAGAATGTTTAATAGATAAGGCTGGGGGGAGACAGGTTCTCCAAATAAATCCATTTTGGGGGTTCCTAAAGTGGATCAGGTTGCAATGCTGAGGGGCTTCTCAGAGCCTTTAATGTGCCAATGGGCGCTGGGAATCTCCCAGAGGGGATACCTCCTGTAGCTTCAGAGATGAGAATCTTAGCTCAGGATTCAGGCAGGTAAAGGGAGTAAGCAAAGTGGCCTGTTAGGAGATAATGAGGAGTGGTGCCAGCTCTGGTGGCCTGGAGGACAAAGGCCCCATCTGATGGCATCCTTATTCAGGACTTTTAAAAACCGTCTAGCCCAACAAAAACCGTCGGCAGGCCTGTGGGCCACGGCTGTTAACCATGATTGTTTCCCAAATGTATTTGCCACAAAACGGCCTCCTGTGTGCTGGGCACTGTTCATGCCTTGGCGTGTTCTAGGTGCTATAGTCATGTGACAATAGGCTCAGGGGAGAAGGGGACCAGGATAGATGGAGAGAAGGCTCTGCTGGAGACTGGAGATGAACTCCCCTTGACCCTGTCTTGCTTGAGACTCAGGCCCATTGGTAATGGAGAGCCTTTATGAATATAAGAATAAGGTGGCATGGCCAATGCCGACCTGACGAGCAGGAGGTCTCCGGGCATGCCGCTGTGTCGTCCAGCTCTCTGTTCCATGTTTCTCTTGGGAATGGAGCCTGTCTGTGCACACAGTGGTGGACAGGGAGAAAAGGAAGGAACGAGGTGGGGGATTGAGTCCTGGTGGGCTGGTGGCTGGTGGCAGCTCCCGGAGTAGGTGCGTTACCAAGTTGGGAGGCTGGGAGAAGCAAGGGAAAGAAGTGTCAGGTGCACCCAGCACCTGGACATGAACTGCTGGCCCCTGTGAGCTTGGGGAAGCATCTTAGAAAGTGCAGGCCCAGGGGTTCCCTCAGCTCAAAGACTCCTCCCGTGAGAAAGACATTTTTTTTCTCTTTCTTCTTTCTTCCCATGTCCTGCATGGCTCAAAATTAGATGCACCTACCTGATGGCAGAGCCCAGCCAGGGTCCCCCGAGTCAAGGTAGGATGGATGCAAGAAGGCATGTTGGCATTTTGGGAGAGTGGGAGGTTTTCCTGGGTTGTCTCTCCAGATTCATTTTCAAATTCAAAGTCAATTTCTTAAAGAAGTTTATCATAATAATAGCAGCAGCTATTGTGTTTGAGCATTTACTGTGTGCTAGGCACTCTATATTTTGTGTAATAAAGCAGCCCAGTGGGGGTGGGTAGGATTACCATGTGCCTAGCACACAGTAAGCACTCGACCATCCTTGGCTTTATTCCTGTGACTTTACGAGTGAGAAAACAGGCTCAGAGAGCTTGGAGTTGTACATCAAGTAAGTGGCAATACGGGGATTGACTCCAGAGGCCATGTTCTGTCCACTGTTCATTCAGTCAAGTATTTATTGAGTATCTATCATGTGCCAGGCAGAGAGCTAAGCTTTGAGAATGCAGCAGTAAATAGTATAGACTTGCTTCCCCCCATCATGGGCATGGTAAATTCTTAGCCAGAACCTGACAAACTGCTAAGACATGCCGTCTAGAGGCTGAACCAAGGGACTTAGACACGTGTCTCCAAGGGAAGGCTTCTGGAAGAGGCAGCCTGAGCTGACTCTAGAAAGATAATAAATAGGCCAGAGGTGGAAAAAACCCAGCACTTGATGACCTAGAATGAAGGACGTTTTGTTCAACTCCTGCGTGACTTTGAGTAAGCCCTTTTTCCCCACTCTTGAGCCTCAGTTTTCCATCTGTAAAGTGGGCTTAGTTCTCTGAAGGGTATTGGGATAATACAAGTGGGGCCATGGGAGCACTGGATGAATGAAATGGGTTCATTGTGGGGTGTGAGGTCTTGCGATAAGTCACCCTTCCTCTTTGTCAACATGTGTGTCCTCTCCATTTGGTCCTACCCTTGAGCAGTGGCCAACCAAAAGGAGTGTTTGGGGAGCAATTTGATGCCAAGAACAAACTGACGTGCTCCATCTGCCTGAAGGAATTCAAGAGCCTACCTGCCCTGAATGGCCACATGCGGTCCCACGGGGGAATGAGAGCCTCCCCCAGCCTCAAACAGGTTAGCAGGAGCCAGCTCCCGGCCCTTCCCAGGCCATGTGTTGCTTGCTTTGCTTTGCTGCCGTCAGACAGAGAGTGATGTGACCCCCCGGTGGGCCCCTGGGGAGGCACCATCCTTCCCTAACGGGAGTGCCTAAGCTTTGCCCCTAGGAGCCAGCCAGGTCAAACAGACCCCACTTCCACTGGTTCCATGAACAAGGGTCAAAAACAGAGGGGCTCGAAACCTTTTGAGGGATCCCAGTCTCTCCACTTCCTGAAAAAGACAGCAAAGAAAACACGTAGATGCGATATTATTTTTAACTTCTGCTGCTTAAAGCACCTAAGACCAGAGTCTCTTGGGCCTCCCAGCGTAGTAGCCGGTGGCCAGGGAAAGCTAATGTGACCATTGGGCTCTCAGCCAGCACTTTCTACTCACCGGTGCACTAGCGTGAGACTCTAGCAATGGAAGGTCTTTAAATACCCTCAGGATTATCCAGCGAGGATATCCATGTGGTGAGCTACCCATGCAGTTTTAGAGTGAGATTAAAATTCGAAGAATTTCTTAAAGTCTTTAGGTATTATTGGTCCAAATTTAAGTCTATGGGATTAACTCTCTGTTCACCAAAATCCTGGATACTCTGGCTCACTCCCATCTCCTGACCATTCCAGATCAAAGAGCTTTGTCTTCCATTGGACAGATGAGTAAACTGAGGCCCGTAGAATTAAGAGGTCCTGCACAAGAGCTTACATGTTTTGTTTTGTGCCTGATTACCAGTCCATATCCTTTTCTTTAAAAGCGACAACAACAACAAAACTTCAGTATCTGCTTTAATTATACAAGTGATAACGGTCGAGATTCTTTAAACATAGGAAATAGAGTGCATGGCCTTGTCCACTGCCAACTGGCGTCACTTGAGCCAAGGGACTCAGGGCTGCAGGAAGGAAACCACCCTGCCGTGGTTCTCTGTCACCCACGCATGATGTCCTGCAACATTTCAGGAAAAGCAAAGTGCGTCCCCCCTTGGGAAGGCTGCTCTCAGCCCAGGACCAAAGCCTTTATTGTCTGTGTAGGAGGAAGGAGAGAAGGCCCTGCCGCCTCAGCCTCAGCCCCAGCCTCCACTACCACCTCCGCGGCCACTGCAGCTCCCTCCCGAGGCAGAAAGCCTCACGCCTATGGTCATGCCCGTGTCTGTCCCTGTCAAGCTTCTCCCGCCCAAGCCAGGCTCTCAGGGCTTCGCCAGCAGCATCGTTGCCGCCCCCTCCGCCAGAGACAAGCCAGCCAGCTCGATGTCGGACGACGAGATGCCCGTGCTCGTGAGGATGACCCTCTCTCCCCCACACTCACCCCAAGGGGCTGCCCCTCACCCGCCTGCTGTGAGTTGCTGCTCTGCCCCCGCCCACCTGGGGCGGGAACCTCCCTTTGCTTTCCTGGAGATGGGGCAGCTCTTCCAGGGTCACTGGCCTGAGCTCAGACATGGCTTGGTCTCTCGGGGTGAGCCCCACACGGCCGCCTGGGGAATCCCGTCCTTGTCCACACTGCCTGCTCCCCAGCGAACACCCGTTACTCTACCATGCTAACGGTCTGGGTAGATCCTGAGACCTGAAGGTATTCCAAGAGGGAAACAAAGACGATAACTCAGCTGGTGTAATCACAGCTATTAAAATACGGAAGTACTATCCCAGACAATAAATAGCTATTGCCTGGAGCCCTGGCCCCCCGACTTCAGGATCTCCAGACCTCCTCAAATCCAGCAGCTACAGATGGAAGCCCTGGCACAGCAAGCCTCCCATGCAGTAGCCCTGGGATCCGTTCTGATGGTCAGCCTAAGCGGATGCTTCATATTTTCGGTATCCCACCTGCATTATTAGCCTTAGAGGACCTAATTCACTAAGGTTCCCAAAGTAATTCCACTGAGAGACACCCACCCACCAATCTCAGGAAAGCAAAGAGATTTGTGTTTCTCACTCACTCTGAAGTTCCCCTTCTCTTTGTCAAATTCCAAGTGCTTCACCCAAGCAGCTTAGCTTGGCTCTGGGGCAGAGATCTCTCTCTCTCTCCCCCTCTCCTTCTCCTTCTCCCTCTCCCTCTCTCCCTCCCTCCCTTCCTCTCTCCTTCTCTTTCTGTCTCCCTCCCTCTTACCTCCTTCCCTCCCCTGGGGAGTCTGCAACCCATGTGGTCGACTACATCAGATTTTGTTCCCTCTCCACAAAGTGGTGTGCTGGGTCACATTTGTCCTCAAAGAATAAGTGGCTGCTGGGATTCCAGGTGGTATGAGGGTGGGGTTGGGCCAAAATAGGGGTAGGGTGGATAATTAAGAGAACTAGAAAAGTCCAGAAAGAACCTTCTTGATTCTCTGTGTGATACCAAGGCCTCAGAAGAGGAGAGGCTGAGGGGGAACCTCTGGGAGTGAGCACGGTTCTCATAAGCTGGCAGGACTTGGGGGCCAGTAACAAGCAGAGAGATGAAATGACAGCCAAGCTCCCGCTTTGCCCAGGGAAGTTCCTGATTTAGCGGGAGAGACACTGTTTCTACCCCTAGAGAACTCTCAGCCTGAAGCTGGAGACGGTATGGTTCCTAGTCACAGAGGGGTCGGGGTCCCAGGCAGCACCCTCTGCCCCGATTTAAGACAGTGGTAAAGAAACCAGGGCAGAGAGTAAACAGTGGTCCCCCAGAGGGGAGGACCCCTGGGCAGCTAAAGTAACTAGGGACTGGGGAGACGAAGGGAGTTTGGTATGAATTCGCTCAGAAGACCACCATGAGCACAGTTCTGAGCAGGGTTTTAAAGGCAGAGATGAAGCTGGCTTTGTGGAAAAGGTGAGAGAGACATTGTTAAATGAGACAAGGTGAGCTAGAAGCATGTAGCCAGGATTGAGTAAATAGGGGCAAGGTCCTGACACTTGATGTAAAGAAATTAAAATGTCTGGGGAGGAGCCCTGGGTTCTAATCCCCACTCTGCTGCTGGCCCCCTGGGGACGCAGACAACTGAGACCCTCTTCCTTGAAAAGCCTGGGCTTCTCCCCTGAGCTGGGGGTTGGACTCCTCAGTGGTTCTCCCTGCTCTGGGGAGCTTTTAAAACCTATCAGTGAGTGGTCCCACCTCCAGAGTCTGAATAGCCTGGTAGAGGTGGAACCCTGTAAATGCTTCCTCTCAAGTGACATCCAGACCTAACATTCTGGGTGGTTTCCCTGGCCCAGGGTCTTCGAGCCTTGCCTGGAGTTGAGAACTGGAGTAACAGGACCAAAGGCTCAAGCACAGGGAGCCCAAAAGGGACCTGTATCAGAGGTCTGGATTCCCGCACAGGGTTGAAAGTCATGCAAGGTCAGCCTGTGCTCAGATGGCCTCATCAGTTATCCGGGAACAGGGTATATATAAAGCTTCGGGATTGCTTCCCAACTTGGGGGCAGAGACATCCACGCCCCATTCTCAGAGTTCTCTCTCTGCTTCAGCCTCAGGTGGTGAGGAGCCCTCTGGTGGGGAAAGGAGGCAGGTTATAGCACTCTGGCCTCAGGAGAGCCCCCTGGGGGTGAGCTGGGAGCCTGGAGGGGTCCCTCTGCCCCCTCTCCTTTCCCCACCCCTCAGCTTCCCTAGACTTCCCTCCTGGGGGTTGGGACAGCAGCCCAGAAGACCGTGAAGCTGAGGGAGAAACAGGAGGGGCCAGCAAAGGGAGCCCAGGGCTGAGGGGTGACTGGAGCAGGTCACATGGCCTGGAGGCAGCTGGTCACATGACCATGGCCAGCCCTTCCCATCACCCCCTGCTGCCTCCTTACTCGGGTGCCACCCTGGGCACAGGAATTGCCAGGAACTGCAGCTCTGACAGGCACTGGCCTGCAGGGCCTGGGAGGGTACCACAGACTGCCCAGAACATTTCTGCAGGTATCCCCACTGCCTCTCCCAACCGCACCTCGGCCTCCCCAGCCACACCCAGCTACACCCAGCTCTCCGTTTTTCTGGGCTGATGCTGGCACACACCCCAAGTCTGTTTCTGTTTGGCTTTGGCATGCCCTGCTTATCTATTTATGTGCATATGTTTACTTATTAGTATATATGTATCCATGTGGCAGATCTTCCTTCCAGACTATGCTTGGTTCCGCTGCCATAAAATAAACGAACACTGCTGACAGGAAGCAACCCAGGAGAAGGGCTTGCTGCAAATGAGCTACCGTCCTGGGAGCAGTGGCAGCAGTGGTGAGGGGTGGGGGGCGGGGGGGCTTCACCACATCCGTTTTTAGGAGAGCACATGAAACGGGCACTGAAAGACGGTAGCTGGTTCTCCCTCAGCTCCAGAGTTACCTCGAAGGAGAGCCCAGTGTGGGTCACTGGCCCTGGGGGCCTTGGCTAGGCCTGGCCCCCTCTTCCTGCTCCACAGCCTCTGCCCAGCTTCCCTGAATAGATTATTCTGTCCCCTTCTCAGAACATGTGTTATCTGTCCCTGATGGCCGTCCCCTGGGAACGGTGGGGAATTAAAGGGCCCACTCGGCTGGATTCCGCTCAGCAGATGGGAATGCGGTGATAAGCAATAAAGAATGTGAATTTTTTCTTTCTTGCCCACCCACCATTCCTACCACCCCCATCTCTCTCCAGACATTAGGGATTTCCTCCCAAACCCAAGTTTCCTCCCCCGTCAAGCCACCGAACTCGCCCTGTGGGAACTGGAGGTGGCGGTTTTTCGAGGCAGGGGATGCGGGGTTGGGGAGGGGGCAGATGGCGGGGTGTGGGGGGGGCGGTGTTCCCCGTTAGAACAGACGCTCCCCTTCCCTCAACCTGTGGAGATGGCCTGTGGGGAAAGCCTGAGGATTCGACCCGGACCGTTCTTCCCGTTCTAGGAAATCCCCAAGAAGCCTCAGCCCGTTGCGGCCAAAGCCGAGGAAGCCCTCAAGAGCTTGCCGGAGAAGAAGAAGTTCCGGCACCGGCCCGAGCCGCTCTTCATCCCGCCACCGCCCTCCTACCCCGCCAACCCCGCCGCCTCGTACTCGGGCGCCACCCTGTACCAGAGCCAGCTGCGCTCCCCGCGCGTCCTCGGGGACCACCTGCTGCTGGACCCCGCCCACGAGCTGCCCCCCTACACGCCCCCGCCCATGCTGAGCCCGGTGCGCCAGGGCTCGGGGCTCTTCAGCAACGTCCTCATCGCGGGGCACGGCCCCGGCGCCCACCCGCAGCTGCCCCTCACGCCCCTGACGCCCACGCCGCGGGTGCTGCTGTGCCGCTCCAGTGAGTCCCCGCCTTCCCGCCCCCCCCCCCCGCCCTCGCGGGGCTCCTGCACCCCACCCACTTCTGCCGGAGACGCTTAGACTGCGCGGACGCTACTCCCCCTCAGGGGAAGCCCAGTCTAGCTGGGGAGACCCCGGAGCCGTAATGACGGCCTCTTTGGCATAAGCGAACAGTTGGAAGTGTGCGCTCGCTCCCTAAGCCCGGGCCGTGGATAATCGTCGGAGACATTCCCCCCCCCCATACCTGTACTAAGTAGATAGACAAATAGGATTAAGTAGTATTCGCAAGACCCGGCTTCCACATCTTCTGCACGCGCTGTATAAAAATCAAGCATGGAGAGCCCGGGAGCTGGTATCTCTTTCTAGAGTAAGAATGGTTTCAGAGGAACGATAGAGCTTAGCCGACCAGAATCGGGGCGCTGGCTTCTCCTTACCCCGTGCGAGAAATGAGTAACCCTCAGCCATTTAGCGGCACATGCCATTCGGTTCCTTGAAGACTACTGGGGGTGACTCTGGCATGGGTTGGGTGGGAGACGGGTCCCATTATGACCGTTTAGGTCACTGATGCTCATTGGCTTTAGTTTCTTCGGTACCTTTCCTGTTGACCACTGACCTCTGGTTTTTGTGCTTCAGACAGCATTGATGGCAGCAACATGACAGTCACCCCAGGGCCTGGAGAGCAGACCATTGATGTTGAACCGTAAGAAAAAGCCGATTTTGGTTGGTTTGTTTGTTTGTTTGTTTGTTTAAGAACAGAAGCCTCAGCTGAGGATGAGGAAGCACCGAATGAGAAGTTAGAGAAATTGTAGGATCATGGTAGTTCTCAAGTCCTGGTGTTTCAAGGCTCTTTCCAAAGACTAAATGCATACTAAAGCATGAAACCTTATATCCAGAGAACCTAGTGACCCCATCTCCGGCTGCTTGGTTGTGGCCACATGCTTGCACATCCCCAGTGACATTGAGCTCTCTACAAGGTTCCATCCAAATGCCCTTGTTTCCCCGTCCCCTCCCTAAAATTCTTGGCTGGTCCTCCAAATAGGTTTGGTGTGGGTGGGGCTGGGGAGTACAATGGAAGAGAAAGGGGCTATTTACTTTTTTCTTTTTTTTAAGATTTATGTAGTTACGTAGAGAGCATGCATGGGTGAGTGGGGGAGGGGCAAAGGGAGAGAATGTTTCAAGCAGACTCCTCGCTGAGTGAGGAGCCCGACCCCCGACTCGATCCCACAACCCTGAGATCACAACCTGGGCCCAAACCAAGAGTTGGAGGCTCAACTGACTGAGCCACCCAGGAATCACAACAAAGGTGCTATTTTCATAGATAAGCGCGAAAAAGACCAGGTGGTAGAGTGGCGACTACCTTGAGTCAGGAATCTGAAAACCTGAGTTCCAGCACCATTTTTTTATTTGACCTTGATGAAGTTAACCTTTCTAGGCTTTGGGGTTTATTTTTTTAAGATTTTATTTATTTGAGAGAGAGAGAGAGAGCATAAGTGGGAGCAGAGGAAGAAGCCGGCTCCATGCTGAGTCGGGAGCCTGATGCGGGGCTCGATCCCAGGACCCTGAGATCATGAGGCGGACGTTTAACCAAGTGAGCCACTCAGGCACCCCAACCTTTCTAGGCTTTAGTTAACCCACCTATTAAGTGGGAATAATTATCACTGCCTTGCTTACATCACAGATTTATGTGAAAGTGGTCTGAAAGGGATAACAAATACAATAAGCACATTATGTTTGTTCCATTTTTCCTGGTTCAATGGTGCCAGTGGCCATGCTCTGGGCGGCTGTTGTCTTGCAATTAGCATCCTCCCTGTCTGAGTTACAGTGAGCTATGACGCTCCAGGCAGACTTCTCCCCCGCTCCCAGCAGCATCTCTCCCTAATCTTAAAGCTGTTCCTTCTCCAGTGAAAAGGCCATGCCTGGAATCTTAGGATCACACTGTGAGGAAATGCCCCTGCATTCTTCTTGCAGAAGGAACTGGTTTCCTTCTTTTTCAAGTTCCTGACAGTTGCTCTTGACCTCAAATTGAAGACCACACTGTTGTTTTCGTTCTTGTCCTTAAAGACGTATCAACATTGGCTTGAGGTTCCAAGCAGAGATCCCAGAACTTCAGGATGTCTCTGCCTTGGCCCAGGACACACACAAGGCCACACTGGTATGGAAGCCCTGGCCAGAGCTGGAAAACCATGACCTCCAGCAAAGAGGTATTGGCATGTGGGGAGAACTGGGTGGAAAAGGCTTGATCCTCTCACAGGGGTCTCTGGCTCCAGTCTCGGTGTGTTTGTCCATGAGACCAAGCTCTCTCTGATGCAGTGGCTTCTCATTGTCCCCAACAGTGGAGAATCTCCTGAATTTGTGCTGTTCAAGTGCGTTGCCCGGTGGAGGGACCAATTCTGAATTTGCTTTGCACTCTCTTTTCGAGGCCAAAGGTGATGTGATGGTAAGGAACGGTGAAAATAGACTTCACAGTTCATATTCTCCATGTCAGAATTCTGAAAAGTATTTTCCTGAGTTTCTGCATTGTCCGAAATACCATAAAACCAGTTCCTAAGATCATGACCAGTCAACATGCCACCATGTTCCTTTATCTCACTGATTGGGTCAGAATTTAATGCCTGCAGGAGAACCTGCAGTTGGACTTTTGTTTATACATCTGTTCCCAAGTAGTAATTATGATCACATCTGTCTTGGGAAATTAGAATTTGTTTTCAGCAGTCTTATAATTCACATCAGAAACCTGGCCTCCGGTGATAGAGGTAGAAAACCTCACTGAGACAAGACTTGGCCTGAAACAGTGTATCCTACTCTGTTGATTGTCCTTCCCTACTATGGAAGTCAGCCAGTTCGGTGTTCATAGAACTGTTTCTCTCCTAACCAAAATGAAGGGTTTGCTGTGCACCAGCTGGGGTCATTCTTCCACCTTTGACACAGTCAGACCTTTGGTGCCATTTTCCCAGGATCCTAGCTGACCATTTGCCTGCTCCACCTGGGCTCCTGGCAAGGGCACTCAGTCACTAACCTGTTTCCTCTTTAGTAAACACATGGTTTTGGTACCAAATCTAGCCTCTTGCTTTTTGATTTTATGAAAATGTGCAAGTAAACAAGTGTCCCAATACTACCTTCTCATGAGATTATTGATCCCCTTCAAGGATTTTCTAGAATGTTAGAGAACACTCCTTAATCCTTTAAGACAAGTGTTGCAGAGAAGCACTTCTCAAACTTCTAATGTGTACACAAATCACTTGGGGCATCTTGTTAAAATGCAGATTCTTATTCAGAAATTCTGGAGGTGGGGCCCAAGGTCCTACGTTTCCAACCAGCTCCCAGCCAATGCCTGTGCTGCTGGCCCATGGACCACACTTGAGAAGCAAGAATCTAGACCTTGCTCTGTCCCTAACCCATCTACGATTCCCCATGCACCATTTTTTTTTTTTTTAAAGTTGACGAGGCTGAAGGCGGCATATTTGAAAGGGTTCTTTCTCTAAGCTCTCTGGAAAGACAGTATATAGCACAGTTATTACTAACACAACTGTTCATGTTAAATTGTAATGAAATGCGTTTTTTTTTGCAAAAACAGTTAAAATCAGCCACTCATTTCCTTGGAGGCTTTCCCCCAGAGATTCAGTCTCCATCCAGAGGAAGCCCCACCGTCTCTCTGAGGCTGGGGTCTTCACCAGGGAAGGCGTGGGGTCTCCACTGCCCCCCTGTTTTTCTCTGACAGGACCAACTGGCTGCAGGCATGGCGGGGGAGGTGTTTGAGTGCCGCGTCCTATGGGGTGCTGGCCAGAAAGGAAGCCCCAGTTAGGGGAGTTTCCCCTCTGGTTTTCCTCCCAGCACCCCCAACTCCTGGCTCTGCAGTGCTGACTCCTTTTCCCCGTTAGGTAATGCTCTTCGCGCGGCCCACAGACCCCGTTACTGACTCTCGCCTTTTCTCTCCCATGGGTCTGCAGGCCGCTCTGGAAATGCTGCTGCTGCGGAAGCCGGTCAGGTTAAAATGCCATCCTTTAGCAAATTACCACTATGCCGGTAGGTTGCCAGGAGCCTTGTGCCCCACTGCTTCCTGAGAGCAGGCTCTTTGCATGTTTGCTGGGGTCACTTTCTAATAATAGACCGACCAGTCCCGTCCTGATCGCCCCTTGTGAGCTCAAGGCCTTCCGGGGCATAGCTGGTGGGGCAGTTATGTCTGTTGGCTGGGTACTGTTGGGTGCTCGTGTGGGCTCCCCCCACCCTCGTGGATGTGCCGAGAGCCAGGTGATAGCGGATGGTGCCCGCACGTGTGGCGGTGAGACTGGTGCCTCGGCGGGAAGGAACCACAGAGGGGACAGCACGGAGACAACAGCACTCAGCAGCCCCTCGGCTTGGGAATCAGTGGACATCGGTTCAAATCTCGCCTGCAGCCCTTGGCCTTCTGGAACCTTGGTCTCCTCACCCGTGAAACAGGGCTCCTACTCCATCCCTTGCAACATTTTTGTGATGATTAGCGATAGTAGATGTAGCACAATGCGTGGCATATTCTAGTAGCTATTATTCATTTATTGAATAATTATTTATTGAGTACTTGCTGCATACAAGAAACTGTGCTAAGTACTAAGATAAAACAGGGATTTTGACGGACATAGATGGAATCCTACCTCGTGCACTTTGGAGTCTGAGGAGGAAGTAGTTATCAACAGATCACACTCAAGGCAGGACAAAGACGTCTACATATGGATATACTGTACAGACCCGTGTGCATATAAACACGCATACATGTATATTATATGTATACGTATACACATGTTACACACATACATGTCCACGTACAGAATGTGTCCTGTGACGGTGTGCGTTAACGATGACATCACCAGTAAGGGGGAAGGAGAAAACACCGTTGAGAGTTGAATGTGGTAAGAATCATGAAGAGAGAAGGCGACAGGTTGGGGAGCCTAAAGTGACAAAATGAAGTTGAAATCAACATTTTAATTTCTAGTAATGGGTAAGCCTATCCATTCTGAGGGCCTCCCTGAGCCTGCCGGGGTTCTCCATTTCAGAGGGGGCTAAATCCTCCAATGCCCCTGGGATTGCTAATCATTTGAAGGTTCCTTTGGTGCCTTGGGCAGACACTGCGTAGGTAGGTGCTAAATGCCTAAGTGGGCTTGGGGACCTGGTCAAACCTTTTCTAGACCTCAGTCCAGGCAGCCAGATGTGGCCTAAGGTGAGGGCTGCTCTACAAATACTAGAGTGTTCTCGATGGGCACCCCACCGGGCCCACCACCCTTTGCCCCACTTACTGTGCCCCTCTCCTGAGCCAGCCTTCCCTCCTGTCATCAAAGGGGGGAAAGGCCTCAGAAGTCACTCACCTGAGCACAGACAGCCCTGGATGTCTGCCCATGGGTCACTGTCCTACCGGTAGTCAGCAAGCACAGAACGGACACAAGGATAAGAAATCCATCATTTAACTAGGGCCTAAGCCAGCCAGTTTCTTACTATTGTCTTCCATCACTTCCTGCTTGGTGTCTGCCCCGAGTGTGGGTAGGAAGATGTGGGAGTTCTCCCTAATCTGCCATGGAAACAATTCAATCCTCTTAATTCCCAGTGTCATCTGCTGCCCATTAAACCCTGACAGGCTGTCCAGCTTCCTGGAGCCTGTCTCAGGCTTCCTTGTATAGTGGGCGAGACAGTTGATGACAAGGAGCTTCCCAGCCATCTGCTGTAGCTGCCCTCACCCGCAGGGTGACCAGGGTGGCCGGTGCCTCTGGGCTGGTCAGCTCCAGCTGTGAGCAACCTCGTCTTGAGACCCAAACCCCCTCCATCCAGTTCTTCCCACTGTGCCAAGCAAGTATTATATTGTTTTATGTGTGTCGTGACATAATATTTGGAAATCTATAGACTAGAAGCCACCCCCCACCCCAAACAAAACAAAACAAAAATGCTGAAATAATAGTAAGGATTTTGAAACTAAACTCTGCTAAAATTACCAATCTTTTAGGGTCCCTAGCTAACGTGTTGCCCGTCCTTGGCCTCCTTCCCCCACAGGCAGACCAGGAAGCACTCTGCTGCCTCCTGGAACATCTGCCTTCTCCAGGAAGTGATCACAGACTGAGCCCCAGAGAATTTTGTAGAACTATGAGCAAAAAAGTCAGAGGTCCCTGGTTCCTAAAGTCTGGCCTGACTCCATCCCTTAATAGTTCCCTTCCAGGCCACAGAGGAGGCCCCAGGGTATACCCCCATCACATGTCCTAGTTCCCAGACACCACTCCTTCCCTCAGTTTGGTTCCAAGGTATCAGTGAATCCCATCCCTGTGGCCCCGTCCTGCCTTGGCTTTTGTGCCCTGGTCGGTTTCTCTCCTGTAGGACTCTGTCAGGTTAAGTCGGCATCACCGGGACACTATCTTCTGGATTGCCTTTGGCTTTGGCTCTGTGGCTATGGCCAATGTCATCCCACCCCAGCTCCCTGCCCTGGAGGCAAGGCAGAACAATTGAGCTTGGAGGCAGAGGCTACAAGTTTGGGGAAGACAGACAGAGACCCAGGCCTGTGAAAGTCACTTCCCCTACTTTACTTAGGACGTTTCCCACCCCATCCCAAGCAGTTCAGTAAGAAAAGGAAAAAGTGACCAGTGCTGGGGCCCAGGAGAGACACCAGCGTGGGTGGGCAGCTTGCCCGGATCTGGAGGCTGCTTGCCAAGGCCAGAGGAGCCCTGTACAAGATCCTTGGAGGAAGGAAGGTGCCATCGCAGTGGCCCCCAGCATGCTAATCCCTACCCAGGCACACAGCCCAGCCCTCTCTCAGCACCCTCCGTCCATGTGTGGGTAGCAGTTTGCAGAGGCTCCCTGCTAGCTTTTGGGTTGGGTGGGAAGGCCTGAGCATGGGGGGAGTCAGGGTGAGGAGGACGCCTGGTTGTGATTAAGGGGCTTGCTGCATCCTTGGATTTTCCATCGAAAAACCATCATTCCTGCGGATGGGTGCGGACACTGGCCTTATGCTTCCTGGCAAGGGCGCAACAGAGGCCACTGTCCAGCTCCCACCACAGCCCAGGCTTTTCCTGGGTCCCAGACCCTGACCTGACTCTGGACTTGCGGGATTACCCGATCGGTTGGTGAAGGCCTCTTCTCTATCTTGGAAGCTGCCCCGTTTGACGAGGAGACAGAACTACATACTCAAGAGAATACTTTGCAAAAAACACAGCTGTGATGTCATTTTCCAGGCATTCTCAGCTCATGTCTCTGGCTGGAGAGTGGTCACCTCTAAGGGCAGGACCTGAGTTAATACTTACTCTCTGGCCTTGCCTGACACAACGCTGTCACAACGGTAAAGAAAGGGTCAGTGGATGAGCTCGAGGTCTGGATTCAGATGGAGGCCTCCCTTCCTTCTGCCTCCAGGGGGATCTTTGGCAGCAGCCAACTTCACCCTCCACCCCTAAAAAATTATTCAGCCTTTACCCACTGTGGAAAACCTTACACAGAAATGAAGATCTGATTCAAAACCAGCCCCCCTTTCCTGCAGTGAACATATCTTCCTTGTGTATGCGCAATAACAGCACCATCACAAAAGTTTTTTAAGTCTTGAGAGCACGACGGAAGGGCCCTCTTTAAAAGATCCTGAGCCCGATTCTCTCACCGCTCCATGTCTCTTTTTAATTGCCTGGGTTCGCTATAGATCGCCCCAAATTTAGCCACAGCCCAGAGCCTGTTTCCCAGCAACCAAACCTCAGAACATTTTTCCTCTGGATACTGTTCCAGCACCAGTTTCCTCAGTTAATTAGGCCCTTTGTAATTAGCCTTAATCGGCTTGTTAGGGGCCCCTGCTGATAACAGCCCAATAGCCAGGAATCCTCAGGTAGGACAAATGAGCGCTGGGGGAATGTCAGCCCACTAACCCTGCGTGCATGCTGAGTGGACAGCAGGGATCCTGGAGAGGAAGAAAGGGCAGAGCAAGGGGAGGGTTAGAGACAGCCCCCTGCCTCAGTTTTGTATTTTATCCTGGACTTTGTCCAAGACACAGAATCCAGGAAGGGCTGGCTTAGAACCTTGTCTAAAAATGTAGAAAGTGCTCCTATATGGCAGCCTCTGGGAACGAGACGCCTGAGCCTTGCCTTGATGGGATTACAGAAGGAATTTCGGGGGTTGGGGAGCGGAAGTCAGGGAGCCACCAGCAGCCAGGAGTAAGGCTGTGCAACTGTACTCACACAGAACTAGGAACACCAGCGTGGATGAGCAGTCTTCCGCAGTGCCATTAATGCATGTCAGCAGGGGACAGTGTGTATATGCCATAGCTGTGGGCTGACTTGGAATCTTCTCTCCAAACGGCCCGTTTCGTTGTGTGCCTGCCTAGGACCAAACGCTGCTGTCAGGGAAGAGGAAACTGAGAGCCAGAGAAGTTGAGTATCTTTGCCTGAGGCCACAGGAGTAAGTGGCAGAACCGGATTTGCAGACTGGGGTCTTGCAGACTGGGGTCTTGACTGAAGTCACCCCTTTTTTTAAGATTTATTTATTTGACAGCACGCACAAGCAGGGGGAATGGCAGGGAGAGGGACAAGCAGGCTTCACTGAGCAGGGAGCCCGAAGCGGGGCCCAATCCCAGGATCCCAGGATCATGACCTGAGCCAAAGGCAGCTGCTTAACCATCTGAGCCACCCAGGCGCCCCTGAAGTCACAGCACAGTGCCTTTATCTGGGAAGAGCACATTTGGGTGTTTCTAGGCTTGGGCCTGGGAATTCAGTCCAGGAGCCCAAGGGTGGATTCTCAGCCCTGTGGGCCATCTCGTGATCAGGATGTCATGAAGATGGATCGCATTGTAGTGTGAGGATAAGAATGCATTTGCTTGTCTGGCCCTGCCTCTGCCTCTCACTTCATGGATGCCCTTGTTGGACAGACACACGTACACTGTGCTGTCTTGTGCACTAAAGGGCAACCCGGAGGACTACGTACAGGAGCCATCTTTTACTCTCTGAGCACATGCTCCCTGCCCCGGGCTCTGCAGTCCTCAGAGCGGGAAAGTGCAGCCCACTTCGGATCCAGGACTGGGGATACAGAATGAGCACTCTTGGATGGGGGAGACTGAAGACCCCATCACAGAGCAGCAGCCCTAAAAACCACTGAGGAGTCAGCAGGGGGGATTCCCTTCCCCCATGAGGCTTGGGGTACCCCATGACAGATGGTCCAGGAAGCTATTTCCCGTTCAGGGGGGTTGCACCTGACAATCTATGTGGAGGCATGAAGGGATATGCTTCTTAAAAGTAGACCTGGGCAGGGGTGCCTGGGTGGCTCAGTCGTTAAGTGGCTGCCTTCGGTTCAGGTCATGATCCCGGGGTCCTGGGATCGAGCCCCGCATCGGGCTCCCTGCTCCACGGGAGGCCTGCTTCTCCCTCTCCCACTCCCTCTGCTTGTGTTCCCTCTCTCGCTGTGTCTCTCTGTCAAATAAATTTTAAAAATCTTAAAAAAAAAAAAAAAAGCAGATCTGGGCATTTAACCCTGCTGCTGAGGGGCAGTAATCAGGTGATGTGATTCCATTCCTGGCATGGGGTGGAAGCAAGTGTCTCCACCACAGAGACTGGATGCTGGCCTGAGAAGGCTGCATGGCCCTGTTAGTGTCTCATCAAGTCTGAGAGCCCCACTCTAACTTAGGAAACATATGGTCTGGCTAAGAGCGGAAAGGATTCTCGTTGATCTAGTTGGGTGTCGTCATTGGCAAGATGTCCCCCAATTCCCCATCTGAGATGCAACCCAGAGCTGCATGGGCTCTGGACCTGCAGCGTGGTAGCTTGACCAGGGATTCAGCTGATGTGACATGTCCCCATCATGATCCTCTTCCACCACTGTATTTCTGATTCCTCTTACCTCTTTGCTATTTTGATGGATACCTAAAGGGAACCATGGCTGCTCTTTGGTCATTCAGCTGAAGTGTTGGTAGTCCTTTCTGTCTCTCTCTTTCTACCTCTGCTCCTGAGCACGGGGAGCATATGGTTCCTGGGACCCCAAGGCCCTGAATATTAGACAGAATTTGAGGAACACTGATGGAACCATTCTAGAAACCCGGATCGCACTGACTTCCTCTGCTCCCGTCCACTCCAGCAAAGCTTCTCCAAACACCCAGCCTCTCTTCTCCTCCCTATTGTGATGGTTGCACAGCCAGAGATATCCCAGCCTCCAGAACCTGTGGAAGGTGTTTCTTTCTGCTGAGGATTGATCAGAAAGCCACTTCCCTTCTGGAAATAAAGAGATAAACTTGCAAACCAAAGAGATCAGGTGGTGGTGGCCCTGTGTTTTGGAGTTCTGAGCTGGCCAACTCCGCAGAGCATATTCTGAGCCTGGAGCCAGAGTTCTTGGCCTGATTCACTAATTTTTGCTGAACCTTCCAATGGGAGAAACAACTCAGGTTTCCTATATCTTCATCTTCATCAGTCAACCATAGCAAAGTGGAAATCCCGGGCTTATCCTGGTGAGGAAGGAAAGTATTATGGTTTGGGGGATTATAGCTCTGAAAAGTGGAGGAATGTCAAAGGCTCTGCCGTGTACCATCCAAAAAATCAGAGACGTGGAGAATTCAAAAAAACAGAAAAGTGAGGCAGAGTTTTCTGCAAATCAGCCACAGGAATTGAGCCTTCCCTGGAGCCCCCAGAAATAGGACTTATCTTAGAAATAAGCTTTATTTCTTACCCCAAGCAGGCCAGGACCACGCAGTATGAGGATCTGCATATTGTGCTTTCTAATTTATGGAGAGAAAACAAATTTGAAAATCAAGGTTAGCCGTTAAGGCAGATGCACCAACCCAGCACTGTGGGGCCCCTTCCTCATGGGTCTTGTACATCAGGGGCTGGTCCCACTCACCTCTCAAGCCTCATCTGCTTTCTCTTCACTGGGAGTTTGTGTTAAACCATACTGGATTACTGTTCCTTCTCTGAACACCTCTGTTTCCTCATCTGTAAAATGGGTAACAGTAATGACAGTCTTACAGGGTTATTGGTGAAGCCAAATGACTAGTATCTGTGAAGTACTTAGAACCTGGCATAGTAAGCACCTAGAAATGCTAGGTTTTTGTTTTGTTTGTTTTTTCTAGCACAGTGTCTTGCATGTAGTAGACACCTAATACTGTTGAATGAATGAATGAATGCATCCATCACCTCACTCTTGCCTCTCACTTTTGCCTCAGCCATGTTTTCTCCCCAGAATTCCCTTCCATCTCCTTCTTGCCTGAATTGTTTCTGTGTGTCCTTTAAAACTCAGCTCAGGTGTTTTCTCTACCTGGAAACCTGACCCTAACCTGAGCGTGAGGCTCACCTTGAACACTGTGGCCTGCTGGTTTGTCTCCCTACTAGATGGTGAGCATCTTGAGGGTGGAGGCTGCCGAATCTGCCACATCTTGAGGAGTACTTGCTACGTGAACGCTTGCACTCATGAACAGCATAATTACACAAAAACTATAGCTACAATTTGTTGAGCACTCCCAGTTTTCCAGTTACTAAGCTAAGCACTTGTGTGGTGCATTATCTTCTTTAACCTTCGCAAAGATCACAAAAGCTGGGGACAATTAGAATTATTCCTGTTTGTAGGTCACTAGACTGAGTCTCGGATTCAGTAACTTGCCAAGGTCAAGGCCATAGCTGGGATTTTAACCCAGATGTCAGGGTTGCTAACCATTACACTACACTGGCTTTTTGTTCAAACGGGAGTTGGATTGTATTATATCACTTGCTAAAGAGTCGTGTTTTGTAACTAAGTAAGCCAGCACCTAAAAGTAGGGAGAACTGTGCGCTGTTCTTAAGACGTTTCTGTTTTGTAGGTTCGGACAAGTGGACCTCCCTAGAAAGAAAACTGTTTAATAAAGCACTAGCCACTTACAGCAAAGACTTTATTTTTGTACAGAAGATGGTAAGCATGCTTTTTCCAATCGCTCACTTGAAATTGAATTTGGGAAATTATACACCTAAAGACATACAGAAATAATTTGGTACTGATTTAACACTCTCACGAAAAGGATGTCTGCCACCTTTCTCTGGTGAAGGATGTTAAGGTCGCTCCAGTGTTAGGGATGTGAAGGAGAAGGAGAACCTACATTATTTGGACATAGCAGTGGTGGGGGGTATGTTTATCTTAATAAATACATGTAATTTATACATCCTATCAGAATAAATAGAACTGGGGCTGTTGGTTTACAATGTACATAATTTATTTCATGTATATTTGACAGATTTATCGTGTTTTGACAATTTTTTTTTTCTGAGAAATTAGAGGAGGGAAGATAGGTGCCTTCCTGCTAGCAAGTAGTGGAGTTTCTGGTATTCGACCCCTAATCATAATGACAGCAGTAATAAAAATAATATTTTGTGTATACAGCATCTCACAACAAAATAGAACTTTTCTACACAGATGAAGTAGCACTTTTACAGCAGATAATGAACTTAATAGACCTTAATTGGCTAAGAGGTGAGGTGGTTTAGGCTAAAAGTTAAAATGATTCCAAGAGTGTTTCAGAAAGTCAATGAACAATGGAGCCGAATTGTGTTATTAAGCTCATTAAAATGTCCAGGTGCGCAGAGAACAGAGTAGCAGGTAACAGCTCCCACTGGCTCTGGGCTGGGCCAAGCTGATGCCATCCACTGGGTGCCTGTCTCCTGTCCTTAATCTAGGGCCTTCCTTGATGGACAAGAATCAGAACAGGTAGACTCTTCTCCCTCTTGCCCTCATCTCCAGATCTGTATTCACCCTTGCCTTTCCCTACCTGGGAGGCCACCATGCTCTTGGATGCCCTGTAAGCTCAGCAGCTTGCATGCTCTTTTTTGAGTCCCCTTCCCACAGAACTGACCTGTCGGAGGCCGCACCCCTTGCAGGCCTGCACCGTGTTGACTGGTGACGGAGTCATGTGTCGTGTTTGCCAGGCGACATGGCTTTTTCAACAAGTGCTCTCCGAGCCAGTGTCCTCACTCCTTGTGCAGCTCTAATGTAGAAACTCAAGATATCCAGTGATGTGAAGGGGGCAACTTCAGGAAGACAGGAGTTCTGGTGGTGCCCCTCTGATCTCATGGTTGGGGTGGCCGGTTTCCGCCCTCCAGAAGCATGGCCAGCCTTTTATCTGCCTCCAGAAAACCCGTATTATTGAGCCCCACCTTGAGCTTGGGAGATCTATGAACTACACAGAGGCATCTTTTTTTCTCTTTAGAATGCATGTACCTTTGCCCCCTTGGGGGAGGACAGGGCAAGGTTTGTTTCCTGCAGAAACTAAGCTCTTGTCTTCATAACGTTTGCCTTACATTCCTGTTCGATTACTAAGGAATATTTTTCATAAATAGATTTTGAAGGTCAACCGGCTAGAGAGCCAAATATGCTCAAGCACATTAAATGAAAAAGCATGCTGCTTTACGGGTTAAAAAAAGGAATGAGCTCTCTATGGGCCGACATGAAAAAAGATCTCCAGGCTATATTGTGAAAGAAAAAAAAATCAAGTTGCAAAACAGCATAGACAGTGTGCCGCCTCCTGTGAGGAGAAATATATTTTCGTGTTCTTTTGTATATGCATAAAGAGATTCTGGAATGAGACCCAAGAAATGAAGAAGAGGGGCTAGCTGTGTGGCAGGGGTTGGGGGCGAGAACTGGATGGAGGGAGACCAGGCATGGAAGGAAGGTTTTCACTATCTACATTTTTTTAATTGAATTGCATACACCTATTAGCTATTAGAAAATTAACTTTTCACAAAAACTTGTGGCTTGGCACACCGCGTGCTGCTGAGCTGATCTGGAGATGGCTTTCCTGGCAGGTGAAGTCTAAGACAGTGGCTCAGTGTGTGGAGTACTACTACACGTGGAAAAAGATAATGCGCTTGGGGCGGAAACACCGGACACGCCTCGCAGAAATCGATGATTCTGTGGTGAGTGAAGCTGCTCAGTCGCTGCTTATGCGGGCCCCGCTCCCGCCCCACACCCAGGTTAGTAAGTGGCTGGTGTTTGGCTTAGCTTTACTGAGGTGATCGCAGGGAGCGGGTGACGGGCCCGCTCCCTGGCGTAGAAATGCCAGAAGGAAGGTGGTCCTGGGTTTGCCCCGGAGCTCAACGCTCAGTTCAGGAGGTGAGGGCTGGCGTGGCTTCCAAGGCAGGCAGGGCCAGCGGAGTGAAGCCAGGGTGGTCCCAGCCTTGACTTGATGGCTTATTAGTGGGTGCCCTTGACTCCCCAGGATATCCTTTCTGATCCATCTGCATCACAGATGCTGCTGACCAGAGAACCAGAACCCTCGGGTTTTCCCACAGCATCCATGAAGCATGACCTAGGAGGAACTCTGGCCTCTAGACGGTGCCAGGACCTCTCAGTTATCGAGGAATAGTTAGCAGTGTGTGTATTATTCTAATCCTTAATCACCATTTATCCTCGATACTGATTTCCTTCAGTGGCAGACGATCCAAAGTTGTCTGCATATTCAGTATACACTAAAGACATAACTCACTAAAAACAAAAGACGTTGAAATCTCCTCCGAACCCCTAATGTGTGGCTTCGGTAATTACTATCACTTTTGTCCTTGTGGTTCACTCTTTTTATCTGCATCCATAGCCAGGGGAAATCTTTCCACGCACTGTGGAAATTACCTGCCATGCATGGGTGTGTAAAAATGGCATGTCTTATAACAGATTAGTAAACTCCAGGCTGTCACCATCGGGGAAGGTGTTTGGAATTCATGATTGTTGTGAATATCTGTAATTACACTTTCATTCCCCACCATGCCCCAGTTGTGAGTGTTAGCACATACTGGCTAATTTTCTTTAACGGACACTTACATAGCCCTTTGTATGTGCTGGGCCTTGTGCTAGGCCTTTTACCACTATTGACTCATTTAATCCTCATAGCCAATCTGTGAGATAGGGAATTAAGGTACAGAGCCTAGGTAACTTAGCCGTGGTCAAATGGCTGGTGAGGATGTTGTCTGAGCCTGATTCCCCGTGTGATACTTAAGAGCAGTCAAATGCAAATTCTTTTAGAGGAGTATAAAAACTCTTGGACTCATTAATCCCTCAAGGTCCAAGTTCCTACCTAAGAATGATCTTAGCTGTGAAATATACACACATACTTGAATTTATATTTGGACCCAGATATCAGGAAAAAATCGACATCTGCATCAGAGATGATGGTGGTCTATGTTCGTGGTTTCCCGTGACCAGGGCTTTTGTTTGAGTGGTCGAAGTAGGTGCTGTCTTATATCTGAAGAGCATTGTTCTCACCTGTGGCCTAATGTTTAAAAAAAAGCAATGTGGCCTATTCTGGCTCAATCAGCTAAACGCAGTTGAGTTCCCACAGTGTAAACAACAATGCGTATGTGGTGCTGTGGGGACCTAAGGATGTTAACTAGCCTCTGGCCCTCCTGCCCCCCACCAGGAGCATATACTGAAGTTGGAAGGATGTGGCATACACAAATGGAAGCTTTAGCGTGAACTCCAGGACTGTTTACAAGCAGCATAAGACGAGAACCAGAAAGGCCTGGATAGGGCCTTAGGTCCTCTCTCTCATCCAGCTCCACCGTGACCCAGGCAGGGGTTTGAGGCCCAGAGAGGGGAAGGGCTGCCCAAGGTCACACAGAGCATTACTTTCCAGATGAGTGGACCAGACAGCAAACAAGGAGGCATGAAGAATCCTGGGCTTGCAGACCTAGGACCTGGATCCTGAGCTTACTGACCTACAAAATGGGGCAGATGGCTTAGATGATTTGGAAAGTCCCTTCCAGTCCTGAAATGTTCTGGCCTCTGTCAGAGTCATGTTTTGGAAGAAGACAAAATCAGAGGATATGGTTTCCTAAGGCAAAGTGATGTCTTTCCAGCTATGTGTTACCAAGTGCCTAGGGGAGTTCCTGGCATAATATAGATACTCTAAATATTTGTTGAATGAATTGAGTGAACATCATTCCCAGATAGGAGTCACTGTGGATCATAGCAACAGTCCCTCTATGAACTCACTGCAGGGTGATGGGGTGAACAAGGGGATTCAGAGCAAGGGATTGCTGCTAAGGAAGATGTTACCACATAAGGAAGAGGTGCAGTCGTGGGCCAACAGGGCTCTGGAGATTCACAGAAAGGCCCAGGCCAACATGTAAACTGAGACTAAGGAGGAGAGGTTAAGATGATGCCCACCTTCTTGGGCTTATTCACCAGGAGCCAGTATTAATTTGGATCAGGAGAGCATCCCCACCCTTGTTACCTTAAGGAGAGCAAAAAGCTATGTGCAGAGATGACTCAGGCCCATAAAAAAGAAAGAGGGAGGGAGGGAGGGCAGGAGGAAGGAAATCTTGATTTAAGGTCAGCATAGTAGCTCACAGCTCCCTCTTAGGCACTGTGAAGGCACAGTCAGCCTTCTAAGGAAAGTTTGCAAAGTAGAGATGAAAAATTGGGACCATGCAAGAAATGGGGAGGGTGCAGAAGGCACAGTCCTAGGGGTCCTGCCCTTTGTCCTCTTGGCCTGCCTGGACACCTGGGATGGCTTCCTGATCATAGGTCCATAGTGTTTTGTCCCAGATAGAACATGATGGAACACACTCAGATAGTTCAGGGACTTTTGTGGGGAGAAGGGAAAAGGAGAGTTTGTGAGGAATGGCTGCTCTTGAGGTAGCCAGAAGGCCAACAGAACACAGTAGCTTACTCAGCTGAGTAGACTTCTGGCCTGAAGCCATGATAGGTCCTTCCACCTTGGAAGCAAAAGAAGGGGACCAAGGTGGGCTCTGTTAAAGATGTAGGAGGAAAGTGCTGATCACACCTCCCTGTCTGCTGCCCCTATTCATGCTCCCACTCAAGGCCAGTCTGTGGATCTGGTTGTAAATTCAGCACAATTCAAGAAACTAAACGAGGAAAGTAGCTGACTTTGGAAGACAGCAGTCAGGACTCCGAGGGCAAAGCTCACCCATGGTCTAAGCACCTAAGTTACTACAACCTGGTCCACTGATGGGGGGTTGGGAAACCTCCTGCTGCCCTTCGATATTTACAGGCAGCTGTTGCCAGTGGTTTTGAGGGGCTAAGGTCTCTGTTTGGGCTGAAAATCTAAACAATATGCAGATGAACACATGTTCTCCTGTGGACATTTGCTTCAGGGCCAATAAATGAAGGAGGCTGAGGTTTTGAAATCAGATAGTTTAGGTTTCAGTCCCAGTTCAACTTCTTTACCAGCTATGTGACCCTGGGGAAAGTCGTTCTCTGGCCAATTTCCTCATTTGTTTAAAAAAGAAAAATGTGTACGGGGTTATCGTGCGCACCAGAAATTTCATGTGTATATATATATATATATATGCGTACACGTGTGTGTGTGTATGTGTGTGGTGCCTAATTCATAGCAGGCATTCAACATGTTTTCATCCCCATCATCATTGTCATTAGTAATTGTGATGCTCAGATTTATGTCTCTGAGTAAATTTGGGCTGTCGAGCATTTGTATTTTAACTTACAAATGTCTCAATGCGAATTCCATTTGCATTCCTGAGAAATAAGAATATCATCCTCCTCAAGAAACTCTTACTGCAGACACTCAAGGTTTTAAGCACCAATGTTAAATATATCACCACCTCCCCATCCTGTATTTGCCCACCTTCTACCAATTTTGGAATATTACTCAGTGTTTCATTTCACAATACATCATGAAATGGCCAACTTGTTGATACAAAGTTGTACATGTTAGGGTTTTTGTCCTCCTATCTTTGTATCTCTTAGTCACTTTGGTAAGCCATATGGCTTGACGATAAATCATGTTGTGAACATGTATAGATTGCCAGTTGAAATAAAACCTATCTAAATTCCAGAGACGGATATAATCCAGTACAGTGTAATTTAATCTGTAAATTTGTGGCTCTATGGAATGTCTCTTTCTAAGAGTTTTTAAGCCAAAAAAAGGTATTGTGAGAAAATTGTAATTATAACAAGCACTATAAAACAGATGCCATTGTCATTAAAAGTTATCGTGTAATCTATTTTAAGTGCCAAGCTATAGACCATGGCCTGCTTAATAAAGCAATACTGAGTCCACAGAGTTCTAGTTCTAGAAAGGAATGGAGGGAACCATTGGGAGTTTGACATAACGTGGTTTTACCTGAAACCCCTTGAGATCCAAAGATGATGGATTCACACGGGAATCAGACCATTTAAGTAAAATCAACCCATGTGTTCTACAGTCATAATTATGAGACCTACAACTTAAATATCATGGATCACTCTGTAAAATGAAGTAGGCCTGCATCTGTACTCTTTGAAGTCTTTCAGCAAATGTCATCATTACTAGTTAATCGTAATTAACCCACTGGACACTGAAGCTATTTCTTAAGTACACCCTGTCGCTACCTCATCCAAATATGCTTGTGTATGGTATTAAATGCTACAGACAACAGTGGAACAGTGTCAGAATGTTAAACGCCCCATATTTACTGGCATTGTCTTTCTCCCCTGCCCCCAATCCAAACTGGAGAGAGAAAACTTGTGGTTTCTGGATCCCAGGGTACTGCTCCACTCTTAGAAATCTTTGTCCTTTTCGGGAATTCTTGCTTCTGGGTTCTAAGAATTGTAAGCTCCCCCAGAGTTACATCCCTCTCTGGGATAAACCAAACTGGGAACCATGTGCTTTAAGCAGAGCCTGGCAGATGACACAACTGACCTGTCAGGGGTGGAGGCGGCAGGACGTGCCTTTTGTGTCCTCATCTGTAAAATGGGAGGATGTTTCTGTCTTGTTGGGTGAGCCTGCAAACATGAAAATGCTTTGTAAACTGTGAAGTGCTGTGAAATAGAAGTTGGAATGAGATTGATGTAACATAGATCTCCCTTTCCCTGGGCCTCAGGCCTTCCTCACCCTGCAGGAGCCAGCATCCCTCCATGAGGACAGAGGAAGCAGAGTAAGGTAGTTAAACAAGTAGAATGAGGGCCTCCTGCGTCCCTGGCCTCCATCCCAACCCTCCTACAGTAGGACGCCAGGCTGCTCCAGTGACTTACTATCTTGTAAACTCTGAGGAAGACTGGACTTTCTGCTTTGTTCTCCACTTGGTTGCTGTTCTGAAGTAGGGGGAGGGGACAGAGTAGCAGCGAGGCTACTAATATTTTTCATGTTCTTTTTCATAGAATGCCTCTGGAAGGCATTTCTCCAAGCACATGATGACAGTCCAAAAAAAAAAAAAACATGCAGGGTGAGGGGGTGGGGGGTTATCTCTTCCCCTTTCCTCTCCACAAAGTTGTTGACATTCACTCTTGGATTCCATTTTGACACAAGCAAGCAGGAGCCCATCAGAGCACCATGGGTCCCATGCTTTCCACAGGCCATGAGTCAGATCAGACATGTGGGGTGTCTCGTACGGAAATGTATCATAAGGCCTGGAAACAAATCATTATATGGGTCTTTAGTCTCTCTCTAGAGGGGTTTCCACAGTATCGTTCCTGCTTGAAAGCCCTCCTCACTGCTCTGGGGAGGGAGAGCTGCTCACAAGCAAGTTTTAATCCGTTTCAAGGTCTGCTGGTCTTGAACCAGGGCGAGAAACTCTACACACAGAAATCTCTCCTCCGTGCCTTAACATATTTTTATATAAGTGGTGAGGGGACCCCAAAGCGAGGCAGGGGGACTTCCCCGACCTCAAAGCCCCAAGCGCCCAATGACCGACCTGGTAGAGGCCGTAGCCCTCCCCAGAGGGCTCTATCGCCATTCCTTAGGCAGACAGGATCCCCGTGTTCAGCCCTTCTCTCCTTTTCTGGCTGGTGGCTCTGTTTATCACTAAAAATGCCATTTGGGGATGTCCCCTCTTTTGCTTTTATTGCCTCACCACCAGACGAGTGAAGAAGAAGAAGAGTTAGAGGAGGAGGAGGAGGACCCAGAAGAAGATAGGAAATCCACGAGAGAAGAGGAGAGTGAAGTGCCCAAGTCTCCCGAGCCACCGCCAGGCCCCGTGCTGGCTCCCGCGGAGGGGCCGCCCCTGCAGGCCCTTGGCCAGCCCTCCGGCTCCTTCATCTGTGAGATGCCCAACTGCGGGGCTGTAAGTGTCACTGCGTCCTCGGGGGACCTGGGACTAGGAGGGCGGTGGGCTGTGCCTGGCTTTAAGGACAGGGCATTTTAGAAAGGGTGCACTTGCATCAAGGAAAGTTTCAGAGGGGACTCCACATTGCCATGGTTTTGTCTCCTGTTTTTTCGTTTCCTTATTTGTTCAGCTGGCAGATGTTGCTGTGCTGGGCGCTCAGGGGCCACAGAGAAGGTCCCCGTCCCCCGGGAAGCATATGATCCAGAGCTCTTCAGAGCCGCCGTGAATGGTTCTGCAGTGAGCCTTGGACTCCAGAACTTACACCCCGTGTTTCTTGGTGCCCCCCCCACCCCGCGGGGCCGTGTGACACCAGGTCCTGCCCTGTAAAGCATGCATTGAAATGCTGTGGGGGAGCCCACAGAGAAGGTTCTGCCCTTTCATTACAACTTGACGCTATTCCTGGTCATCTCACCTGTCCAGAAGGTTTTGCAAAGTTTCATATTCCATCAAGTGTTACTCATTCAAATGTCATTAATTTGAAATTTGAGAAAGTCATTACAAAGATTTAGCTTAAAGGGGCGCCTGGGTGGCTCAGTTGTTAAGCGTCTGCCTTCAGCTCAGGTCATGATCCCAGGGTCCTGGGATCGAGCCCCACATCGGGCTCCCTGCTCCGCGGGAAGCTTGCTTCTCCCTCTCCCACTCCCCCTGCTTGTGTTCCCTCTCTCGCTGTGTCTCTCTCTGTCATATAAATAAAAGTCTTTTTAAAAATTAAAAAAAAAAGATTTAGCTTAAAGTTTACCTTGGTACTCTTTGGGGAGAACCAAAAAAATTTTTACTAAGTAAATTAATCATGTAAACAGGCTGAAGGGGAGTCTGTATAATTATTTAATATAGTACATTTCAGGTACGTTGGAAATATTGTTTAACTAAAATAAAACAAATTTACCGTTTGATCATTCTTAGCACTAAGGAAGGCCTTACAGAATCTATACTGGTCTGGTCTAAAGCTCCCAGTGTATTTTAAAGGATATATTTTTTTAAGCTGTTAACTTTAGACTTTGAGTCCCCCACCGGTCCCCCACTAGTCTGAATTGATGAACTTTTCCCGAATCAGATTTCTTAAAGCCAGGCACACCCTATACAGGTGAGTTATAGAGGTATTACTCAAAAAAATGAGAACGTTACTCCTTCACAAGAAGCTGTTTTTTTCAAGCTGGTATACATCTTTGCTTATATATTATACATCTTTGCTTGTATATTATACAGGACAATACTGTTTTCCAGAGTGTATTGAGTGCTGCTTGAGGATTCTGTCACTTAGATGGAGAAAGCAATAGTCTTTAAAATATTTAGATCCTAAAGCAGAAATTCACTTGATTAACGTCTGAGAAAAAAATGAAAAAGTAAGAAAAAAAAGATACATACACTTTACATTAGCTGTGAAAAGAACCTAAGAAATTGCTAGCTTGTTTCTGTCTTTGATGTTTAATGACCTGCAGGCGTCACTGCATCATTTCCGTTTTGTATAGAGCGCTTCTGTTCAGGGATGGTTAAGGTGTGACTTTAAATGACAATACTTCTGGGTGAATTTATTTAGAAATTCACTGTTTCGTCAATTCATAGTTTTGGTGTATGGTAAATCCTTGACTGAGTGGGAAGTCATCCTTCACTTTTCCCAATCAGAAATGCTCAGCAAGCTGGATTTTTTTTTTTAGTGATTTTTAAAATTCACAGGGAAAAAGCATCTTGGTTTTATTCCTTGCCTAAGCCTGGAGGTTTGGGTTGTTAAATCAGCCATAGATTTATTTTTTTCCCCAGTAAGACCATAAACAGAACTCATGAATTTCACACAGAGCAAACCACCTACAGCTCCGTGGGTGTGGCTGTTAGCTGATGTGTTTAACAAGCTGGAAGTCGGGGCTCTTTGAATTCAGGGGAGTGGATTGCATCTCTTTACAGGAGTGGTGCTCGACTGGGAATGATTTTGCTCCCCAAGACCCTCTGGCAATGTCTGGAGACATTTATGTCACATCTGGAGAGGTGCTGTTGGCTTCTCCTGGGCAGAGGCCAGGGATGCTGCTAAACGTCCTGCTTAACACGGCCCCCCTCCAACAAAAACTATCCAGCCCCAAATGTCAGTCGTACTGAGGTTGGGAGAACCTGCTTTATGGCAAGTTTCAAAAGATTGTCCAGGTCCGTCCTGCCCCTTTTTATCATCCCGCAGTAAAATTTGGGAGTCTGAAACATTGCTTCGACAATTGGCCACTGATTGAGGCTTGGACGTAATATACAGAATTTATCAGAGCAGCTAATCCGTGTCTTTCCAACTGTGTTTCTTGGGGTGCTAAGGCTTTCTGTGGTGGGGAGATAGAGCTGAGCAAATTGGCTCACTTCCAGGGTGCTGCCTCTATTTCGGCCAGAGCACCTCTGCTTTTAACTTTGAGCTTTTGAGCAAGACCTGATTTGTTTTGATTTGTTTTTCTTAAAGTAAAAGAAAGAAAGGAAAGGGGAGGAGAAAAGAAAAGGGGGGCGGGGCAGGGAAGGGGAGGTCATTTCCAACTTAAAAAAAAAGGAGTTTGAAAGCTGGCCAACTCCCTCACCTTACAGATGGAAAAAAAAATCAGGTGTCCAGAGGGGAAAATGGCCCAGAGGCCCTCCCTGTGAGACAGAGGTGCTGGATCTCGCCCCCCAGTGCCCTGACTGCTAGACGGCAGCTCTGTCCTTCAGACCATGCCGCACAAAGTGCTTCCTGTCTTCCGGTTGTAACAATGATGTGTTTTTTTTTTTTTAGGGGCGCAGTGGTAGTATTTGACCTTGACCTTTCCATGCCTATGTCCAAAGTTTGCTTACGTAAAACCCCCGCACACCATCATTAGACACTGTTTCAAGTATCCTGTGTTTCACCACTGAGTAACTAATAACCCTAATTTCCTTTTCAGGACTGTAGTGTCATGTCACTCCCTTTCTTCCCCAGGTGTTCAGCTCCCGACAGGCACTGAACGGCCATGCCCGCATCCACGGTGGCACCAACCAGGTGACCAAAGCCCGGGGGGCCACCCCCTGTGGGAAGCAGAAGCCGGGCAGCACCCAAAGCGGGTACTGCTCGGTGAAGAGCTCCCCCTCTCATAGCACCACCAGCAGCGAGACAGACCCCACCACCATCTTCCCCTGCAAGGAGTGCGGCAAGTAGGTGCAATTGGACCGGGCACTGAGTTCCTGATGAATCATTGCTCTGGGGAGGCCGGGCCAAGATGCTCTGAGGTTCCTTCAGCTAGAAAAAGAACCCAGTGTCTCCAAATATTCCCTCATATCATCCTTGCGGTCTGCACAGAGCCTCAGGGTGGGTGGACCTCGTCTCTGACTCAGAATATGGTCATTCTGATATCCTCGTGCCTAATAAGGACAGACAACTTCAGGGCAAACCTCTAGTAACAAAAACTTCACTCTTTCAGAAATGGTGGGTGGGACTCGGATTCCCACTCCATCCCTTCACACCCAAACCGTAGTCACGAGTGGGGCTCTCTTTGCATTGCTGCTTAGTGATTTGAGAATGGCTCTGAAACACCTATCAGGAGCTATCTCCCCACCACTGGCTCCGGCCTGTGTCTGGGGCAGACATCACTAACCGGATTGCTGCACTCTTCGCTAATATCTTAAGACAGGACCTCAAATCTTTGCCATCGGCATGCTTCAAGCAAGCATAAGCAATGGATCGGGATGACTCAGGAGATGAAGCCTATTTGTCATGCCTGTCCTTTTATGTATAATTTAAGACAACTAAGAGAGAAAAACTGGCAGTAGGCAGTAATAGTAACATCTAACGCTTGCTGGGCACTCATTTTGTGACAATGCTTTATGTGCAGGAGCTCATCTTAATCCTCACACAGAAACCACAGGTGATGCAGGGGCTGTTTTTATCCTTGTCATACAAATAAAGATTCAAAGTTAGGTAAATATGGCTTGCCTCAGATCACACCCCCAATGAGAGCAGAGTTGAGATTTGGACCCATCTCTTTCGAAGGGCAGAGCCCAGGCTCCTGACCACTGCTCCATGCTACTGGTCTGTTTATTTTAGGCGGAAAATATCACTGATGATAAGATGCACAGCGTTCCCTCCCACAGCATCCAGTGTAGAATTCCACTTCTCAGTGAGTCCACCTGACTTGGAGGGGTTGTCATGAGTGACTTCCTTTTGCCTCCCTAGTTGTATGAATGAGGCCAACTGGGACCTCTGCTTATAATACTCATTAGGCTATTTCACACAACTTACCAGTCCCTGCCATTTATCAGGTCCTATTTGCCTGAGACGGTTTTAAAGGATTTGCACAGGTATGGTTTCACTTAATCTTCGGCGCAATAGGGTAGACACTTTTAGTAGCTGCTTTTTTGACGAGCAGAGAAAATGAGGCACAGAAAGGGTGAGGTCTTTGTCACAGTGCACATCTGAGTCGGGATTCAGGCTCTGCAGCCTGACCCAGGCTGGCGCTCTCAGCCTCTGAGTGAACCTAACTCCGTCTGGTGGCACTCGCCACGGTGAGGTGGAATTAGCAACAGTCTTCTCTCCGTGAAGCACAGAGATGGGGGAGATGGCTAGTGCGGCCCCCCTGTGTTCTCATACCCTTCAGAACCACGACAAGGCATCACCTTCATCTTACCACAGAGAAGTGAGCCCCCAGATGGATCATTAGGCTTCCTGACTTGAAGGAACCATCTTCAGACTGATGCCCTTTATCTCCCACCTGTCCCCCGAGGGGAGCCAACACCTCCACTCACTGGGCTACACACAGGCCACAACTCTTTATCCCACCAGGTGGAGACAAAGAACATTTTAACAAACCAGAATTAGCATCTTGAGCTTTCTGGCTGTCTCTCAGTGACATCCATTAAGTGTTTTTCTTGTCTTTGTTTTTATGTTGCTTGGGACCTTTTAATACCATAACTCCAGTTAAGATTTTGTGGAAAATAGAAATATTTTCTGTGGTTTTCCGGAGTAGGAATAACAGGCAAATGTTTGCAGAATGCCTGTTTTAGCTGCTGAAATTACGTTCATTACATGAAACGGTTTCAATATGGGCAATTGTGATTCATCAACTCTGCTTGTCTTAGAAATCAGAGGGTTTTTTTCATTTCCCTTTATGAGCTCAGGAATGAATGCAGAGTATTTGTGCCACCCCCTCTCCCGAAAGAGGCAGCCTCACATCTGGGCAAACAGTTTCTGAAAAAGGTTCAGGGAGAAATATTTAAGGCTTTGCAGGCCATACAACCATTCAGTCACAGCTATTCAGCTGTACCATTGCCGGGCGGAGCATCCCTAGACGATCCATAAGCAAATAGACACGGCCGTGTTCCAATAAAACTTTATTTACAAAAATTCAGTGGGCTGGATTTGGTCCACTGACCGTGGTTTGTGGGCCCCTTGTCTTGGAGTTTCTCGACCTCAGCAGTGACATTTAGGTCTGATCAGTCCTTGTTTATGGAAGAAGGGGCCGCCCTCCATGCTATAGGATATGTAGCCACCTCCGTGGCCTCTGCCCACTGGATTCGAGAAATACCATCCTTCCCCTCGAGTTGTGACAGTCAAAAATGTCTCCAGATATCAACAAGTGTCCCTGGGGAGGCAAAATCACCCACAGCTGAGAACTACTATTTCCTTCTAAAGCCAAAAGGACGAAATTATAATATGACGGCCAATGAGAAGGGATCTTAGGTGAAAAGGAGTAGTGGGTGCAGCTCAGAAGTCAGGTACAACAAAGATGGAATGGGGGGCATTGGATTTGGCCACACAGAGTGATGGGTGGCCTTGAGCAGAGGGTTGGGGCTGCAGTGGAGGGGACAAGAGTCCAGTTGGAGAGGGTGGAGGGAAGAGGAATATACCAAGGGTGAAGAATCAGGTGGAGCCTTCAAGAAATTTGTGGAAGAACAGGGACAGAAGCCAAAGGCAGATGATGGGTTTTATTATGGGAACTATGAGAGCTCAGCAGCATGCTTGAGGGATTCTCAGATTCTGTTGGGATTCTGTTGGGATGAGGCGAGAAAGGGGGAAGCTAAAGGAGGAGAAAGGCATGTGCTGCAGACCACAGATGGACGGGAAGACCTTTGAGAACTCACCCTCCATTGTCACACTGTATGTGTGCTCCCGTCCCCATCCCCTCTCCCTTGTAATGCTTGGAGAGGACAGGCAACAGGGGCAGGAGGTCCTAGGTGGCCCGGGGACTCCTGACAAAGCCACCCAGACCAGATATTAGACCACGCAGCCCCTGTTCCCTGTAGGGCGCCCGGATTTCAAGAACTCCAATCTCCTCAGTTTCCCATGCTTCTTTTTCTTCATCTTCAGAGTCTTCTTCAAGATCAAAAGCCGAAATGCGCACATGAAAACACACAGGCAGCAGGAGGAACAGCAGAGGCAAAAGGCTCAGAAGGCAGCTTTTGCCGCCGAAATGGCCGCCACTATCGAGAGGACCGCGGGGGCGCCGGGGCTGCTGCCCCTGGACCAGCTGAGCCTGATCAAACCCATCAAGGACGTGGACCTCCTCGATGGCGACGTGGTCCAGCAGTTGGGAGGCGTCATGGAAGAGGCCGAGGTCGTGGACACGGATCTCCTCTTGGATGACCAAGATTCGGTTTTGCTTCAGGCTGACGCGGAACTATAAAGCCCCGCTTGTCACGCAGAGACAGCCAGCACCCACGGCCTCCGTCTTCGTTCATCAGGAAACCCGGACTCCCTGCTCGCTTTGTAACCATTTTAAACTACCTGTTTAAAAAAGTGGTCATTTCATTCAGGTTTAGGAAGAAAAAAAATTTTTTTTTTTCAGTTTCTTTTCCTTTTATTTAAAAAAAAAAAATCAATGTTTCTGTGGGAGGTTGGAGGGAATAAATAATTGGCACAACTCTATTTAAGAGGTGTTTCATCTGGGCTACATTCCTGCGAACTCATTCCTGGCAGGGAATAAACCTGACCTTCAATGTTCTTTTGCTTTCAGATGTCAACCATCCTTGCTGCCTTTGATCCCAAAGCTTGCCGTGAGCGTGTGGATGCGTGTGCGTGTGTGAAGCAGGCTACCCTCTTCGTGTTGGGGCCTTGGGCCGTCCTTTCCCACTAAGAGTTATTTTTGTTCTGTTCTGACCTCATTCTGTAGTTTGCAGTGAACCTGGAGTCTCTGCCAGGAGATTCTGTGCAAAGGGGTAACTTTCCAGTGAGCAAAGCAAGCCCTCGTGTGACACGGCTTTCCTTAGCACATACACCATTTGGAAAGTTGACCAAATGTGAAAATACGTTTTCTCCCTGCCTCGCCTATCACTGTTGGCCTGTTTCCAGGAGTACTGTACAATTTCAGGCTTTCACTCCAAGGCCGAGCTTTACCGAGGACCTGGTTCCTAGAGTAAGTGCGTCCTCTTGCCTGCTCCCCGGGGAACTAGTCGGTTCCGATTCGTGGATTGGCAGAGTCATGTCCCGGCTTGAGCCGTCTAGAGGAAAATAACCCCAACCAGGAAGTTGCCAGGGCTGTTTAGGGAGAGTGGTTGAGGGGCACACATTCTGGAACACCAAGAAGTGTTCTTTTGCCCAAAAACTACAGACTGGAAGAGCCCCTTCTTTTTTGCAACACTGTTAATGGTCCATGGAGTTCTGGAATTACTTTGTGCCACTCGGAAGTACTGTGAAACCTCATTCGCTGGGATTTTGCTGTCATTCACCTTTGCTGGACTGTTTCCTAACCAATTTAATAGCAAATACAAGTGAAATAGCATTAAAGACCAACAATAATGGTTTCAGATACCACTTTAGCTACCAATATTTGCATTCAAACAAGGAATGTATTCATTCAAGTCATTTACCAAAGCACTTCTAGAATTCCCCAAGCCACAGAACTCTGCTCTGCTTCCTCCTGTCCCTGTAGCAGGGTTGCTGTTTGTACTTGAAGGTAATAAGCCTGTAATCCTTCAAAAATGGCATTTAGCTCAGGCTTTTGAGCTGAGTCAGACTGCCCCTCCCCCGTTGGGGCAAATGAGCACGTGTCTTCAGCCTGGGACGCAGCCCAGCAGAGAGGACCGCCCCTGGCGGCCTCCCCTCGAGCATTAATGCGGCCTGCGGCCTGACTCCGGCCTGACTCCCGGAAGGAGGGCTTTCAGGCCTTGCCCCACCCCAGGTAGGCTGGTTCCCCCAGCTTGTGTAGGTGTGGCCCATCGTGCCAGGCTACTTTGCTGGCACATTAATGAAGAACTTGACATTAGAGAGAATGTCAGCAGAAGTATGAGGACAGGACCTGAGCATCTTCTAAGTCTGACTCTGGCAGAAGCATTTTGGCACACTTGGCGGCCCACCGCGGCCCCGCCTAGGCAGTGTTCTCTGAATCTCAGGAAAGCCACGGACGGAAGATAAATATAAAGGTTCTTTCCGTTTCCATCATTCTGTTTTCAGAAAAAAAGGTCTTGGCAGTTTCATTCATCCTTTCTTAGAAGGCAAAAAGAAAGGTTTTGTTGCTGCCATTTTAGACAGGTTATTCTCTCGTCTGTTTCGAGTTAGAACTGCCTAGGCAGTGTGCATCAACTTTGTGGCAGAATTGTTCCAGAACCATTCCGTAAGATCAGCTGATTTGATTGCGTCTGTCCCGGTGACTGCTTCCCCCTGCGTGTGCCGGCGTCTGAGAGTGATTCTGGAATGGTTCCGCTTTCGGGTCTTTGAAAGCTTATCTATCAAAGGAGCAAACACCCAGAAACATGTTTATAAAGCAAATGTACTTGCTGTGTTTGGAGACTTGCCCAGCCGTTCCAGTTTTAAACATTAAAAATAAACTGAGTTGCCAAGGCAAAAAATGCAATGCACAATTTAATTTTGATTTTTCATGCAGTATAATGTAAGCATCTTTGACTTGAAATAACCAAAGAACTCCTCCTTAACGAGACAGTTCAAATTCCTGAAGAAGTATTTCTTGACAATATCAACTTAAAGAATTGACTTCATGGTAAAATATTGCACTTATTTTCCTTCTGCAGTGATTCTGCCTGCATGTATGTGTTCTGTTTTTGCTTCTCACCCTCCCTGCCCCAAAGAACTTCTCTTCCTAAAGATTAATGTCTTCAACACCGTTACTGTTTACTATCAGATGGTTTTTCATTAGTGAATTTAGACCTCTTTGAGAAAGCTTGTATATAAAAAGTTAACAGATATATTTTATGGAAAAACCCATCTTATTTTCAAATATATTTAACTGCTGTTATATTTTATTAGAGGAAGGTTGTAAATATTTTCTAGGAGTTCTATTGTAAAGAAAAGTATTTTTGAAAAAAAATTAATGTAATAAAAACGAAAACATTTTTAAATAGTGTTGTGATTGCTTCCTGTTCTGGCTTCGTTATGTTCTATTCTCAGCAAATGACTTGCATGCCTTCCCATTTCAGGATGTAATTTATTCAGGTTTGCACTATTATAAGTTGACATCATAATATTTAGTGTACTTAACTGTATTTTCCCCGGAATGCAGGTCCCTTGGTCCGTATCCAAAGCACTATGTATTAGCATCTTCATAATTTTTTCTTTTGTAACGTGTGTATTTTTAATAAGGATTTTATGTAACATTTTGGCAAAAAGAGGGCAGTATTTTCTAGTGAATTTTATAATACATTTTGCTAAAAATGTTTCTTCCTAGGTCAGTTTTTGTTAAGGTGAACCAAAAGTCTTATTTTACCAGGGGCTTAAAAAAAAAAAAAAAGTTTGAAGCTTGAAAGCAAAGTTATATTTAAACATCATATGTAACAAACAAATAAAGATGTTTTATAGACTTGTCCTAAAAAGGTGCATTCCTTCAAAACAAAACTGAGGCATTCTAGGTTGGTTTTTTCCCCCAGAGTGAAAAACTTTTTTTTTTAAGTTCTCACAATCCTTTTTTCAGAAGGAGAGCCAGAAGAATTTTACTTAAAAGGCTCCAGTCATTAACCTTCTCAGAAATTTATTACAGTTCCTATAGATAGGCATTCATCAAACAGAGTTGTAACCAAATAGACACTGTCCTATTTATTTGTGAAAACCTGATTCGATACTGCATCAGCTGCTCTGAAAATAAAATGTTATCTTTTTGAGTTTCATTTGGCTTAAACATTCCTTCTTTCTAGCCACTGAAGTGACTTCTCAATGCTGGATAAATACTAATTTACCTGTTAGTTGGTTTCTGTAGACCAGTTTAGAGGTCTGCTGATTAAATTTAATGGCTCATTCAAGTGCCCCCTACACACATGCTAGAGGCCAGGTCATGAGCCCCTTGACGGGTTGGTGGTCTCTACACCATACTGCCCAGGCTGCAGCTTAGGGGGCTCAGTATCACACATGGGTAGCTCACGGTGAACTTGCCACAAAATCCCGTCCACCCTGGTATATATGCATTGCTAGTCTGGATTTCCAAATTCTAGAGTATGTTTACTTTTTTATGATTAAAAACAAACCTGGGGTGCCACCCAGGTGCCCCAATAAATAAATCTTTGAATTTATTTATTCAACAGAAAAATAAGAATTTCCATTCTGTGTTTTCTACAGAATTTGCTTTAAGTGGGGCATACCTGTTCAAGACCTTGATCTAGGTTCTTTGGGGTTTTTTTACTTTAATACTTATTTTTTTTAAGGTTTTATTTATTTATTTGATAGAGAGACAGCGAGAGAGGGAACACAAGCAGGGGGAGTGGGAGAGGGAGAAGCAGGCTTCCCGCCGAGCAGGGAACTCAATGCGGGGCTCGATCCCAGGACCCTGGGATCATGGCCTGAGCTGAAGGCAGACGCATAACGACTGAGCCACCCAGGCGCCCCTATTTATTTATTTTTAAATACTTTATTCATTTGAGAGAGAGAGAGAGCACAAGCAGGGGGAGTGGCAGGCAGAGGGAGAAGCAGGCTCCCCGCTGAGCAGGGAGCCCGATGTAGGGGCTCGATCCCAGGACCCTGGGATCATGACCTGAGCTGAAGGCAGACGCTTAACCAACTGAGCCACCCAGGCGCCCTACTTTCATATTTAGCTATCAGTTTTAGACAGTTCTGTATAAATAAAATAGCTATTCCTCTAGAAGCAGTGTGCATGTAGCCAGTGTTACAAATTTAAGTTCTGCTTGCAGAGGTTCACGTGTCCAATCCGAAGACGTTTTCCTATGTTTATATTTATTCATTCAGTACTCATGAGCTCCATGTAGAAGACACTATTCCACACTATTATACATGGGGGAAGAGAGTATATAAAGATGACCAACATTCCTTTCTGCCAATTTAATACTTAGAACATACAGGGCCTAGGACTTGATTTAATTCCTCCATTGCAGGGGCGCCTGGGTGGCTCAGTCGGTTAAGCATCTGCCTTCTGCTCAGGTCACGGTCCCAGGGTCCTGGGATCGAGCCCCACATCGGGCTCCCTGCTCAGCAGGGAGTCTGCTTCTGCCTCTCCCCCCAGCTTGTGCTCTCTCTTCTAAATAAAGAAATAAAATCTTTAATAAAAAAAAATTCCTCCATTGGGAAGAGCAAAGGTCGTGTTTTATTAATAATCTGAACTCCCTTACCACCACTGCCTCCCTCAGCAATGTATATCAGGTGCTCAGCAATGATTGGTTAAATTGATTAATTATAAATAATAATAATATAAATAAATAAATTGATTAATTTCCTCTTCCAGGTATGCTTATCCATGCGTGCGTGCGTGCATGCGTGTGTGTGTGTGTAAATAAAGCCTCTTGAGTTCACCTAAAGTCAATTCTGACTTTCACAGACTCCCAGTCTACCTTCCTCAGCCATAGCCAGCCGGCTGAGGAGTGCTCTAGGAATGAGGATGAGTTTTAATGTTGACACAAGCAAAACACAACTAAGAAAACATGTTAAGAAATTGAATAATATGTTCCTAACTGAACCATAGATGATCTCTGGAT